TTTTTTTTCTTTCTATGTCACATCATCCATCCTAACTATTTCATCAGTTCATGGTCTTAGCAGCATCAATCAGTGGCCTCAACCTCTAAAATGTGCTCATAATGAGACTTGGGAAATATGGCTCAGAACAACATTGAGCTGTACACAGGAGATTAAAAATCTGAATTAAGGCAACCATAAAAGGGCCTTTTCTCTTGGTAAAACCAACCTTACTTTAATACAGAGTTATGAGTAAGGAGGGAAGCATAAGCCACTGCTCAACTAATATGTAGAAAGTTCTGTTTTACTTATATAGCTAGACATAATGAAAACTCATGCATCAGTACACAATATTTCCAAATACAAGCCTACAAAAATTACTTGTAACTGCAGATATTCTTTAAGATTACACAATGAATCCTGTTAGATTTTAACTTATAAAACAAATAAATACAGTTGATTTTCTGAAGTCTTTACTTAGTCAGAATTCTGAGATCATTTTGTATTGCTGACTGAAATATACTCACAAGCTCCTGACGGTGGGGGATTGTTGTTCAGTAAGAATTCATGTCTACGTTTTTGTTCTGATTTTAAGCTTCTCTGCCAAGACACTCAAAGAATCAGCCTTTTCTTCTATAATTGCTGCTGTCATGCCTGAGAAGAGCCTTTACTTCCAGCAGTCTGCTACATTTGCTTCTTCAAAGGTTTCACTGAGCTAGCCCTGCTTTGTTAAGTTTTTTGTTTGTTTTTATCCCTCACAGACATGATTTACTTTATTGTGCAGCACACCACTGGGAGTTCTGCCGCCTTGTAAACATAGAACGAGCCATGAACACTAAACAAACTGTTGTTGTGACATCTGCTCTACAATATTTCATACTAATCCATTTTCAGACTAATTCTCTAATTTGTTCTAAAACCATTTTGACGTTGATGTCATTGTTTTCGTAGATTGACCAAGTGCTCTGAGAGCAAAAACCCAAAACTCCTATAGAAGAAAATCTACTGGGATTTTCGTTTTGTTTTTTATTTTGTGTGTGGGTGTTTGTTTTTTATTGTTGTTTTCTTTTGTTGTTTTGTTTTGTTTTGTTTTGTATGAAGATGGTAAGATTGTTAAACTGTTGGCTTGACAGAGGACTTGGCTTAGCTCAAAGGTTTTTAACTGTTTGTCAGTTCCCTGAGTGAGAAACGCACATTTCAGGTTTTTAACACAGCCTTTCCTTGGCCTGAATTACTATTATGGTCAATGCAATCCCAAGTAATTGTTATAATGAGCAATTCTAAAACTTCAATTATTTTGAGATCACAGAGTATTTTGTAGATGTTTGGTTTTATTGTTCCTCTCCACTACTCCATGGTAGGATATCTACATTCCGTGTCTCCTGGCTCTGTAGTTTTCAAAGACAGAGAGCATCATTCCCCTCTTCTGAATGCCTGCAGCTTCCTCTTTCCACTGGTCAGAAAGAGCTCTGGAGTCAGGTGATTAGACCCTCTGTCCCCACAGAGATGACATCAGTATCAAGGGTGCCATGCAATGAACAGACACAATGGAATAATCACATACTAGCCTTAGTCTCTAGAGATTAGAAAGAGAAGTCTTTTGTGGGCTGTTTTAATATTTACTTACTTAAGCTATTGAATTTTTAATTCTATTTTTCAATGGTTTCATATATTTATATAATGAATGTAAGTGATTGACAGCCCCTATTTCCCCGTCATCTCTGTACCCACACTCTCTCACTGAAAGCCTTCTTTCCAAAAACTGGGCCTCCGGCTTCCATACCTTTGTTTTATGTTTGATCACGGAGTTTAACTAATTATTTTTGCCCAAGTGTAGTGAAAGGTTATTTTCTGAAGCAAGCATGACTTCTCAGTAGCTATACCACTGAGAAAAATGGTGCCTTCTCCCGCAACAACCATTAACTGCTCAGGAAGTTGTGGGCCTTTTTTGGAAGCCTGCATTTTACAGTGCCAAATGCAAAAAGCAATGTATTGCAATATTGTTAGGAGTATTTTCTAAGACAATTTGTTCACAGAAACGAACATAGAGTATTGGATTCTTAGTTATCTAAATGTCGGTGATGATGTTGCCATTACTGTTCTATGCCTTTGAAATGAACATAGTTCTGAAATTCTGTGTGGCTCAGGTCTGTCATCTTGTTTTCTTTCATAGAACTATTAGCTGTAAGTCTTCTTGAGACATTCTAACTGTTCTATCTTCTTTCTTATCCTGGAAATAATAATCCTATCGGGATGCTAACATGATAGATGCCTTTCTTGGGTGGTTCCCATGATATAGGCCAACAACATTCTCATTAGTGTGTTTCCCTACAAGGATGCTCATAGTGTGAATGAAGAGAGTCTTGAAGGCCTGGTAAAGGTGAGCAGTGCAATGTGAGGATAATGACTCTGCTTGGGTTTTTGATTTATGGCAAGAAACACTTATTCTAACCCTAGCAGGAAAAGTGATCACACTTGGGGTCATGCTTAAAAGACTAGAAGTCTCCCCATATTTGCATATCTGTATTTACTCTTGCACAATTCCTGATAACTAAGAAACAGAAGTAGCTTGGTGCTCTGACAACAGATGAATGCATAAGGAAAATGTGGTGCATACAAGTGGTGAAATTTTATTCAGTCGTGAAGAAAAATGAAAGCATGACATTTGCAGGAAAATGGATGGAACCGGTATTATGTTATTTGAAGTCTCCCAGACTAGGACAAAAGCCCCTTATTTATGCTTATAAGTAGATCCTAGATTCAGACTTGTGTGTGTGTGTGTGTGTGTGTACACATAGAGTATAGATTATTAAATTAAAAGGAGGATCAAAGAATAGGAAAAGAGGGTCTTAGAATTGGAGTCCTAGTTGCTTTTTCGTATAACAAACACCATGAATAAAGTCATCTGGGGAGGGAAGATTTTATTTTAGCTTACAGGTTACAGTCCATCTTCAAGACAAGGCGGGGACTCAAGGCAGGAACCTAGAGTCAGAAACTGAAGGAACTGATCATAGAGGAATGTTGCTAACTGGCTTGCTCTGGTTTGCTAGGCTACTTTCCTTACACATCCCAGGTTCACTTGCCTAAAGATGGTACCATTTAGAGTGGGCTGGAAACTCTTCCATAAGTTGACAATCAAGAAAATGTCACAGCTGGAGAGATATCTCAATCCTAAGAGATATGGCTGCTCTGCTGGAGGACTTGGGTTCAATTCCCAGCACGTGGAAGCTCTAGTACATCTGTATCTATTTCCAGTCTTTGGTGATCTGATCCCCTCCTCTGGCCTCCATTGGCACTGAATACTTGGGAAGCATAGACAGACATGCATTTGAAAAACACATAAAATAAAAATAAAATGTGAAGAATATGCCTCACAAACATGTCAACAGTTCTGCAACTGAGGTTCCCTTATTCCAAGAAATTTTGATCTGTGTCAAGCTAAAAGAGACTAGTGAGCACAATTTAGGAGGGAAACATAAAAGAAGGCTTAGGAATGAATACCCAAGAGATGCCCTATCATATTACAAAAGCATTTGTTCAACTATGTTCATAGCAGCACTATTTGTAATAGCCAGAACCTGGAAACAACCTAGGTGCCCCTCAATAGAAGAATGGTTAATAAAGGTGTGGAACATATACACATTAGAGTTCTACTCAGCGGTAAAAAACAATGACATCTTGAATTTTGCATGCAAATGGATGGAAATAGAAAACGCCTTACTGAGTGAGGTAAGCCAGACCCAAAAAGAGGAATATGGTATGTATTCACTCATATGTGGTTTCTAACCATAATTAAAGGTCTTTGAGCCTATTATTCGTGATCCTAGAGAAGCTAAATAAGAAGGTGAACCTGTTGAAAATCATGTAGCTATCTGCCTGGAGATTGGAAATAGACAAGAGTCCCAGGTAACCTCGGGTGCATGGGGGGGTGGGAGGGTTGTTGGAAGGGGAGAGGGTTAGAGAGAAGGGAGTAGTGGAGGAATGGGGAAAGCTAGGTGGACTGGGATGGGGGGAGGGAGGAAGGATGGATATGAGATTAGGGAAGAATATATCTCAAATAAGGGAGTCATTTTAGGGTTTACAGGAGACTTGATTATAAATGGGATCCCAGGTCCAAGGAGAGATCCCCAGACTGTTCTCTAGACAGAGGAGAAGGTGCCTGAACCGGCCTTGGCCTATAACCATACTGATGAAGATTTTGCTTATCACCATAGATCCTTCATCCGACGATGGATGGCGATACAGATGGAGACCCACATTGGAGCACCGGACTGAGCCCCCCATGGTCCAAATGAGGGGCAGAAGAAGGAAGAACATGAAAGAAACTCAGGACCGCGAGGGGTGCGATCACCCACTGATACAAGGGGACTGATCTAATGAGAGTTCACCAAGGCCAGTTGGACTGGGACTGAACGAGCATGTGATCCAACCAGATTTTCTGAATTTGGCCGGATTCTCTGAATGTGGCTGACCTGAAGTCTTCTGAAAAGCCATTGACTATGACACTGGGACTTGTTTCCTCTGCATATACTGGATTTTGGGGATCCAGTCTGTTTGAATACTCACCTTCCTGGACCTGGAGGGAGGGGGGAGGAACTTGAACTTCCCACAGGGCAGAAAACCCTGACTGCCCTAAGGGACGAAGAGGGAGGAGGAGAGGGAGTGGGGGGAGTGGGAGGGTGTTGGGAAGAGGGGCGGAAATGGAAACTTTTATAATTTAATAAAATTACTTTAAAAAAAATAGAGGAGGACTAATGGGTGAGGAATATGACCATCAGGAAAAGTGCAGGGGTAAAAGAGAGGAGGCATAGAGAGTCATGCAGGGGTAAGAGAGGGGAGCTATAGAGAGTCATGCAGGGGTAAGGGAGGGGAGTAATGGAGAGTAGTGCAGGGGTAAGGGGGGAACTATAGAGAGAGTAGTGCAGGGGTAAGGGGGGAGCTATAGAGAGTAGTGCAGGGGTAAGGGAGGGGTGCAATAAAGAAGGATCAACAAAAACAAAATACATATGGAAACACCACAATAAAGTTCATTATATTTTTATTTCATTTTTTTGTATGCGCTGAGTATGTAGACATATGCTTGATGCCATTTGTGTGTGGCAGTCAGAAAACAACTTGAGGGATGATTCTTCTACAATCCCCAGGATTAAACTCTGTTCACCAGGCTTAAAAGGTCATTAGCTTTCACTGTTAAGCTGTTTTTCTGGCTCCGAGTAAAGTGCATTTAGGTATTGACTTGTATCAATTAATTTGTCCTTTCCAAGGCCAGGTAACTCAGTAGGGCCAGCATGAATGTCTTTTTTTTTTTTTTTAAGAATTAAAGACTTGGAGCCTTTGCTCAAGATCTAGGGCGCAACTTCTCATGAGATGAGGGCAGTTCGTGTTCACATGCACAACACACAACCCTAGAATCAAGGTCGACTTTTTCTCATAACTGCCTGTAAATGTTTGGATAACTGATAAAAATAAAAGTAGTAACAGCAAAAATCTCATAAATGAGAGTTTATGGCAGCTGTCCTGAGGTTACAGTAGATAGATTTTAGTATACACAGACTTGGTAAATAAAGACGTGCAAAGTTAGTCCTTTGGCCTAAGAATACACATTTGCGTCATTAAAGAAAGTCTAAATTTCAGAAATGGTTCAGATGTGTATGTAAATATGCACTCGGTCATTTAATGATCGCAGGGATTTACTCCCACAAATTTAAAGTCTGTTTTTGTAGTCACAACGGACAAAGCCCTTCTCTGTAACCCAAAGTCTACACACTGTCAAAGTGGGTCACGAAAAACAAATACCGTGCTGTTGGGAAGTCGACGATCCCTTTCTCCCTATAATCAATATTGTTTAAACTATATCTTACCTAATCAATAAGGAACGAAAACAGTCAATGTTTTGAAATTCGGGGCTGGAGGGGAGAAAGTCAATCAGTCTCTACAGCTGTCTCAGAAACATCATTATTATTATAAATGTATTTAAAAACTCCATACTGTGTGAACCATGACCTGGTTGAGGGGGCCCTGGCTGTGTGTTCTAACTTGTTCTTACTTTGGTCACCACTGTCAGAAATATTATTCAGGGAAATTCTGACATGAGTTTCAAAAATACTTAACACCACATCTGAGATAAGTAAGACGCATCGATGCTTTTGAATGCCGCCTTTAAAAAGGACATGAGCTTGGAGACAAACAGAACATTTTAAACTCTAAGGCTCTTCCTGTGGGAGGAGCTTCCACTTCACCGAGGAATCTAGTTCCTCATCCAAATCATCCAGCTCCTGCTCCTTGGAGAGCTCCAGGAAGACCTGGAAAAGAGGGTGAATGAAGAAAGAAATGAGAGGCGTCCCATCCTACCTTCTAGCTCTGCAAACGATGCGAGGATTTGTGTGTTCCTCCTAAGCTTATTTCTTCTATTTTGTACTTGTATGTGACATATATGCATTCATGTCCACAAGGATGTTGGGATGTGTGTGTTCAGGTATCTCTGAAGGCCTGGAGTGGATGTCGCGTGTCTTCCTCAGTTGCTCTCCATACTTTATTTACAGAGGTACGAACACCCAATTGAAACCTAGAGTCCTCCAATCAGCTAGTCCATCTAGCCAGCTTGCCCTGATTAAGGATTCCACCTCTGCATCCCTGGTGCTAGGATTACGGGAGTCAGCCGTGCCCCCTTGGCTTTTGTGTGGATTCTAGGGATTCAAACTATGGTCCCCACACTTATTCAGAAAGTGCTTTATCCAATGATCCATCTCCTCAGCTATTAACATTTTTAGGATGATAGGCAACCACTAAAATTGACTCACCTGTTCCAGAGTGGACTGTGAGAGGCTGTATTCTTCCAAGTCAAAGTTCTCTTTCACTATGTAAGGATGAACGCCCATTAGAAGCTCATTTTTTTTTCTCAAGGAATTTCACCAATTCATGTACAGAAAGAACAAGCGAATAATGAAAATATAAGATAATAACTATTTTGAGTTAACTACTGGAAATTAAATACATCATGTAGTCACATAAAAAGATAGAAATACTGTCCTATTTTTTTAGAGTTTTGGCCAAGGCAGTAGAAGATGAAAAAGAAGAATAAGAAATTCTAGAACACCGATCTGAAATAAAGTTAAAACATGATTTTCTTTCTGCTAGAAAATTCCCATGTGCCTCTTCCATCTGTCCTTCTTCCTGCCCCAGACGCTAGCGCTAAGTGGCATGTCCCAATGGGGTTTCAACAGGAGGGAAAAAAGAAAGAGGGGCCGTGGTATTTCTTCTTTCACTCCCTCCCTGGCACTGGGTCTCAAGGTGATAAATTCTCCACCACTTTGCCCCAGGCTGCGTCATTCTGTCTCTTTGGATCTAATGACAATGATAACCATTGTGCGTATTTATAGTCTCAAGATGGTGTACTGTGTTCCTATACAGAAGTGATAACTACAGTGCCCATGGTCAGCCATTCTTGTTGCTGTGTTACTTCTCTTCCTTTTCCACTCTACCATGGACGGGCTCCTAATATCAGCTTATAAGACAAGGAGGGAACAGAAAAAGAGAAATTCAATAAAAGTATGCGCCCAAGGCAAGTGTGGCCCGAGAGAGATAAGACCCTAGAGTTGTGCTAGGGCTTTCATTATCCACATTTGTTCTGTTGGTATGTAAAAATAAATCTATATGGATGATCATGGAGTGTGCATGGTGAAAAATTCTGAGTCTAGTTCCTTCAATAAATGTATTGAAGCTGAAAACATAATGGTATCTAATGACACTCGAGGAAATGTTAATTACATGCCGACATTTGACACCTTGCATTATCTTCCCAGAATAAGGTAGCAAATTGGCATTAAAGATTGTTTTTAAAATATCCCCAAATGTGAATCTCAATGCTAGCAAATTAAATAAAAAGAAAGGAATACAAGTTAGAAAAGGAACTGATGAAAGCAGAAATATCAGAAGGCATGGAAAGAAAAGCTTTACAGTGTTCCAGGGAGTCAGCCTTCCCGGAACATCGATTCTGCTGATACTTATCTATTTCAAAATACATCCTGTTTATAAGATCTCCATGGAATCCTTCTTATCATAATGATGCAAACCTAGCAACCAGGCCAAAACGAGCCATAGCGTAAGAGTGTACAGTAAGATGAAAAAAGAACAATCTATTGGAGTGGCCCTAACCGTTGATCAAGAAGGCACGAGCTGGAAAGCGTTAGCCCTCAACAGAAGGCAGTTGGCAAGACTGAAAGCACAACACAAGAAGAGGAATAAATCAGTGTGATCTTGAATGTCCTTCACAAGCTACCCAAATAGTTCTCAGTTTGTGAAACTAACTTGAAAGCTATGGAGCCTTTAAGAGATAGGACCTGACTGGTGTACGTCACTACGGATGAGTCTTGAAAGACTGCACATTCTCTTTGCTCTGGTCTGTTTGCTTTGCTTCTGGTCTGACACAATGATGTGAGGAGCCCCAGTAATGTGCTCCCAATGGACAGAGATGTCCCATCATGCTTTTCTTGCTACTATGAACTAAAACTATCTGAAATCAGGTGCCAAATTTAGTTCTTCTACCATAAGTTGTTTCTGGTAGATATTTGGTCACAAGAACACTGCGGTGATACAGAAATTTGTACCAGAAGTGGGGTCACTTCTGTGACAAAACATGACCATTTGGTTCTCAAACCTTTAAAACTAGCTTATGGGAGGGATGTGGAAAGGGTTGTGGAAAGGGCTAGAAGAGTCCTAGATTTCTACAAGCAGAGCCTTCTGGTGGAAGACCCAGATGCCAGTAGAAACACAGTTGGTAAACACTGCACTCATGAGGTCTCAGATGCAAACAAGCCGTCCAATGGGAGTTAGCCTTGAAGTCATTTGTATGACTTCCGGAAATGATGTCTGCTACAGTTTGTGTCCTGAGAATTTGAGTGAGGCTATATTTACTCAATAGACTGATTAGTTGGGTGAAGGAAATTATGAGACAAAACAGCATAGCATAACTATTGTTTGTTGCTTTAAGCCAGTTTTACAATGAGAGAGAGAGAGAGAGAGAGGAACAAGTGGAAAAACATTTTGAAAAAGTGTGTATTGTGGGTGCCTTTAAAGTGACTGTAGACAAAGTAGATGCAGAGAGAGTGGTTACAGCTATTAAAGTCATTAGTGCAATTAAAAAAATAACGGAAAAATAGAAACATTGTCTTGAGGGTCAGACTTCTTCCACAAAAGACCTCAATGTCTAGAAATGTAAGCTCAGTTGAAAAGTAAGTGGCTGAGCAGGGAGAGTACCTGAGCACAGAACTTCCTGGTTTCAGCTATCCAGGCATTCAAAGGCTGCTGCAGCCTTGGCGAAAGGACATCTGGGTATTTCTCAGGCTGACAGCAGAACTTGAAATCATGCACATGGTGCAATTTTTGCATGCATTCATAATGAAATAGTTTTGGAGTAACTGGATCTTGCACCAAAGTTCCCAAGAAAAGCTTGGGAGACCAGGCACTGTGTAGGGAAGTCAGATTCTGGGGCAAGACATCATGAAGCTTTAAAGTGTAAAGTCAAGGTTGCAGTAAAGACCTTGAACGTTGGAGATGTCAGAGATGAAGAAGTCTACTAAGGAAATGCTCAGCTATTGAGTAGAACAGGCCCAAGAAGGAGGTCGTGTGTGCTAAAAGTGGCAGGCACGTAGGAGGGGGATACAAAATTCTGTAGGTGGTCATCTCACAGCAAAACATGCACTGGATTCTGACTTGAGGCTGCAAGAGTTAATGTGACTTACCCTGTGTGTTTTGGGCTTGCTTTTCTGTAACCTATGCTTGCTATCCTTTGGTTACTCCTTTAAATAAGAATATCTTCTCTGAGCCATTATTTGATGGATGGATGTAGTGTTCTTTTTTATTATTTTACCATGGATCACATATTGGAGTTTGCCTTGAGTCTGATAAAAGACTTTTGAACAGTATAGGAACTTTTAAGAATTATGTGGACTTTTGATGTTAGACTGAACGCCTTTTGCATTATGAGATGGACATGCTAAATTATTTCTTGTTGAGAATCACTGGATTAAATAGATGTCCTACAATTTATTAATTATATGTCATGAACATTCTATAATTTTTAAAGGTTTTTTTTTTTAATGTGGGATGTCCTTCTGTATATGGGTTGCTTTTACTGGCTGATGAATAGAGCTGTTTTGGCCAGTGGCTTAGCAGAGGAAAGCCAGGCTGGAAATCCAAATAGAGATATAAAGAGAACGTAGGCGGAGCCAAAGAGACACACTGGAATTTTACCGGTAGGCCACTTACGTGGTGATACACAGATTAATAGAAATGGGTTAAGATGTGAGAGTTGGTTAGTAAGAAGCCTGAGCTAACAGGTCAAATAGTGCCATAATTAATACAGTTTCTGTGTGATTATTTGGTTCTGGCCTGCCGAAACGAACAAACAGTTTCCATTTACGAGTGTTCATGGTTTAAACATTCACTTACATCTCTCCAATTTGAAGAAAGCCTGTGATAAAGGCCGTACATCCTCAACAGGCAACTTATAGACCATCAGAGAGGAGTATCTGTGAAGAGAAGGAGGATGGACACTGGGATTCACGGTTGTACCCTCTGATGCGTGCATGTCCGAATACAATAAACAATCCTGTCAACTATTTGTGTAAATGAATGTCTTTTTCCTTCTTTTTGGTTTTTCAAGACATGGTTTCCCTGTGTAGCCCTGGTTGTCCTGGAACTCACTTTGTCACCAGGCTGGCCTCAGACTCACAGAGAACCGCCTGCCTCTGCCTCCCAAGGGTTGGGATTAAAGATGTGCACTACTGCCCAGCATAGATCTATCTTATAACTTGGAGATGGCTGCAGTTCCAGGGCTCTTTGTTCAGCAAGAAGTCAGTCTGCGGGGAAGAAAAGACTGGGACACAAGAGAGGAAATCAGTAGCAAGATGCCTTAAGAAGGGAGGAAAGAGGATTGTCCTTCCATCGTAGGAAAAAGAGAGTATCTAAGCAGAAACTGCTATTTGGTTTCACCTCATCTACTTGTGCCTCGAGAACCACCGCTGATACAAATGCTGAGAAAAGCCATCCGTGGATTCTGATGGGTGTCTACTACCACCACTGGGCTCTCTCAGGGCACCTCCTTTAACATGGTGGTTTCACCCTCTGCCAAGAGCAACTGAGATAATATAAGCGTCAGCATACAATAGTACGTAGCTTATTTCAAAGCCCCACGAATACTAATTCCCTCGCAAGAGCCAGCCTCCAATGAACAATTTATTGTCTTGGTTATTTCCTGTGCAGCCCTGGGAACAGAGGGCTTCTCTTAGTAATGAAGGTACTCACACTGACTAAAGTTAAAAACAATGAGAAGATAGAACTTTCACTTCTCATCTTTCTATAAAGCAAATACCACCCAAAACAAAGATTAAAATAATGCAGACGTATTACCTTTCCTGCCGAGCAGCCTGGGGGAAAATCTTCATGATCTCCGTGTTGAGGGACTCCACTTGGGTGAGGGTCTTCACCTTCATCTCCAGCAGGTAATCTTTGCCAAATTTGCTTTTCAGATGTTGGATAGAGCCAATACACCTGGAGATAGATAGGAGGAGGCTAAGGTATAGCAAGGCAAGAGAACTATCTCTGGTCATTGCAATTCAGTATCTGGGTGTCTGGGGCAGGGCCAGGTAGAGACCGACACAGATTCTCCAGCTTGTCACAGTTGGCAGTGTTGTTTTTTTTTTTTTTTTTATCACAGAAGGCAATCCAGAGTCAAAGGCAGGCCTGACCGGTACTCACCTCAGCCTCCCAGACACCATGATGGCCACGCGGTCACACACAGCCTCCGCCTCTGCCATGTAATGTGTGGTCAGGAGGGCACCCCTCTCTGTGTTAGTAAAGGTGGCCCGGATCGCCTGCCTGGAGTTAGGTCAGGGGAAGCAGCTGATAAAAGAGAATTCTCAAGGTATCACAGAACCTTCTAAATATGTTTCTATTAGCACACATGCGAAACAAGAAGGGCATCCAAGAGGAACCAAAACCAAGATATCTTTTGTAGGACTGACAGATAAATAACCTCACTTTTGGTTGGGGTATATAATTTAGAAACGGCTTGGGGCTGGACACGGAGGTTGATACTGAAGAAAAAGTTGCTCTCAAAAGGGCTGAACAGCAGGAGAATTAATGAGAGAAGGCAGGGGAGGAGGTGAGGACATCCTAGACAACGTGATGATCATGATATATTCTACAAGGACATAACATGATCGATTTTTAACAATTTCACAAAGTAATTAACATACTGAGGACTTGGGGTTTTTATTTCCATCTCCGTGACCATTGTCATGCGGCTATGGCAGAGGATTTGAAGTTTAATAATCAACCGAGTGGACTGTGTCCTATGCATACTGAGATCTAAGGGAAATAAAAAAGATTCTTACAGTACGTGTTAGATGGAGGGAATAGGTCTCTCGTTTTTGTGTTACAAGCGTTGGCCAGAGTATGAAACCGTGTACCTTTTCTATTAGTGTTGCTTTTCCTGCTAAAGGATGAATATCTTTCTGCTTTTAGGTAAACTATGCTGAAACTCAGTTTTGGAAAGCTACTTAAATCCACATAAGTGTTGCTCCTGAGATCTCACCACATCTGCTGCTGCCCCTCAGGGTCCATCCCGGTCGATGGCTCATCCAGAAGCACCACAGATGGGTTCCCCAGGATGCTCAGCACGAAACAGAGCTGAAACAAAAGGGACAGGGCTGAGAGTCTTTATCATTTATTACAGGAGATAGCAATTGATACTCAAGGTGTCAACCTCCCAAAAAATAATTTCTGGTGAAGAGAAGCTCATTTTGCAGAGTCTACGAGATGTACAGACCCCAGAATATCTGCTGCTTCTGCCTATAACGTTAAATGTGCTAATTGCATTCCTTCCCTAGTGGCGGTGGCTCCCCACAGTCTGGATATAATGTGTGACTATCGCAGAAATACACACTTCAATCTTCTGGGCATTTTTATCTGTGGATTATCTCGAAGGTGGCTCTTCCGTAGCTGCGTTGTCTGTTTAATTTTAATATTGCTAGCCTACACACAGTTTTGATGAATAAAATATATACAAAGAGATGCTGCCCAAATCGGGTGTTACAAGTTTCCATTCAGAACCGTCTTAGAGCACAGCTTAAGAAAACAGCTGTAGGGGTTGGAGAGATGGCATAGGGGTTAAGAGCATTAGCTACTCTTTTAGAGGACCTGAGTTCAGTTCCCAGCACCCACATGGTAGTTCACAACTGTCTATAACTCCTATTCCAGGGACCCTGACACCCTCACACAGACATACATGCAGGCAAAAGACCAACATACATAAAATATAAATAAGTAAATTATTTTTAAAAAAGAAAAAAAAAACCCAGCTGCAATTTCCCCAGCTGCCAAGATAGCCCTATACCAGCAACTGATAGAAAATTTCAAAATAGCCTCAGACCAGATCAGGGGTCCAGCTAATGGATTTTAAGGTAAACTATTAGCAGAAAAATACAAGCTTATTTACAAGGATATGTAGCCAGCTGTGTGATTTGTTGAGCCAAGGTAAACAGTGCAAAGTAACCTAACTGTGGCCCAGGGACTGTCATTAACTCTTCTCAGGGATTCCTAGCCTCAGTTTTATGGCCTTTGTTCAGACACCACCGGATAAGATTCCCTGATTGGCCAGGGCTAGTTACAAAATAGAAACTAACTTCACAGCCCCAAGAAAGAGTTACAAGTCTGTTTCTTTTATGGTCAAGGGTTACATGCAGGACAGAAAAATCTATCTTAAGTTTTAAAATGCTTTTAACAACAATGTGCCTCAGAGAATTCTGAGTGGGCTCCTCTGCGGTGCCCTCACCCTTTACCCCTGCAGCTTGGGGCGCTGCTACACTTTCTCTGAAGACACATTTGTAAACAGTCTACAGTACAGGAAAATCTGGCCTTTATGACCGCTAACCACAAAATGTTTAAGATATTTTATACACTCAGAAGAATAGAACATAGCACCCAATTTCCTTAATTCTTTTAGCCTCCTTGGTAGTTTAGCTTTATAGGGCTACCTCTATAGATTAGAAGACAGAAAGCCCCCTCCCCCTGTAGCTGCGGTTCGCAGGCCACTAATTAGGAGTTAACTGAACGAAAGTGCTACTCTTTGCCACGTGATAATTAATATGGATTTATTGCTCAGGACTATGGAGAGGACTCCATTTCTTATCATTTACCTAAGAAATGGTATGTGACCTTCAGATGTCATGCCTGCAAGATTTTTGTGGGTCTTTCTAAGCAGTGTAGAACAAAGAGAAGGGGCAGAAATTAAGAGACCCTGACAGAATTCAATATGACATAAACTGGCAGAATCCATCATGAGAAACTAAGGAGTGTTGCCATCAACAAAAAAGTGTACACTTGAGCCCTTCTTTACTCGGAAACCCCTCAGATTAAAAAAATCCTAAATTCGCGACTGTGTGGAGTTTTCCTCTGAGCCCTGCCTGCAGCCCAGAGGCTGGTTCTTTGGGGCTGCAGTAGGACAGCCTGTCTGTCATCAGCCAACAGGTTGCAGAGTGGGATACTGAGCCCTCCCTGTACCTACCTTTCTCTTCACTCCCTCTGATAGGGTCTTCACTGGAGCCTTCAACTGGTCCTGCAGTTTGAGGGCATTCACCAGTCTGAGAAAAACAGCGAGTCACTCTTCATTAGGCATGAGCAGGAAGGAATGCAGCAAGCAAACATAAACAATACTACAATAGTAAAAAGTTTAAAAGTCATCAGAATGGTCACAACTTTGATATCACTCGGGCTACTACTACTGTTTAGCTATAGTTTGCACACCAAGGGTTTGTGCACTTATTCCTAGCTGGCGATGTTAGGAAACAGCGTGGACCCTTAAAACCTATAGAGAGGAGGGAAAGCCTAGAACAACAGGGCTCTGTTTTCAGAAGGGCTATAGAGTCTTTATCTCTCTCTGGCTTCCTGTCTGACCGTATCCTCTCCCACTCATAAACAATCCTGTACTGATCTCAATGCTATTTGGCCCCACTAGCATCTTGATCGAGGCTGACATCTCAAAATTTCACCTCCAAAACTGAGTTAAATGGATAAATCTCTTTTCCTCAAATGTAGTCAGGCCCATGGATTCCATTACAGTAACATGAAGCTGGTTAATACTGATATGTTATAGCCCATTTTGCTCAATGCATTCATATTGCATTTCCTATTCCATATGAAAAAAAATTGGTAAACTTTCTCTCTAGGCTTAAAGTAAGAGAAAGTAACAATAGTGAACTGGATTCCCAGCTCACACGCCAGTTTGGGGTGACCAAGTCTCCCATAAACACGTGGTCCCTAGCTAGAAGTCCCCTCTTTAATTTAGTGTGAACAATATTAATAATATGCCACCCTCCTAAGCAGGGAGTGAATGGCTTCTCCACGTACCGTGTAATAGCGACCGAGGCATCCTTTTTCTTCAGCCCTTTCACAGCGGCGTACACCTCCAGGTGCTCCTTCACTGTCAGGACGGGCCACAGCACGTTCTCCTGAGGACAGTACCCCAAGAAGCCGAGGGTGGAACCTTCACTGCACCCTTTCAAAAATACCTACACAGAAGAAAACCTTTCTCAGGTTCTGTTCAACTGTGTGTGTGTGTGTGTGTGTGTGTGTGTGTGTGTAAGTGATACTAAATGATGTTTTCTTCATGCACCTGGGTACTAAGAGCCTAACAGTAAAAAATACAACTGCTTCAACAGGAAAAATCAGTTTTCTCCAGGAATGAGATGCTGCAAATTTTGTCTAAACCTAAGTGGTCATAAGTGGTCAGGTTTGGACACATACATATTCATGTGAGCAACACTATTTTATATATATTATATATATGTAATATATATTATAAGCACATATATATTATACATCTATCTATCTAATTACATATATTTGTGGACGTACATGTAGCAACGATAATTAAAGAAGAGATCATGAGTTTGAGAGGTAGGGCTGGAACATGGGAGAAGTTGGAGAGGTAAAAGGGGCAAGAATGATGTACATACTCGTGTGTGAAGTTCACACAAAAAAAATCATGAAATGTTTAGAGTTTGAAGTGGGATTCCCTGCTGTATGCTGTGAATATCATTGGTTGATAAAGAAACTGTCCTGAGCCCCTGATAGGGCAGGACTTAGCTTGGCAGGGAAACTAAACTGAATGCTGGGAGCAAGGAGGCAGAGTCAGGAAGAAGCCATGGAGCTACCGCCAGAGACAGACATGCTGAGACTTTGCTGGTAGACCATAACCTCGTGGTGATGCACAGATTAATGGAGATTGGTTAAATTAAGATGTAAGAGTTAGCCAATAAGAAGCTACAGCTAACAGGCCAAGCAGTGATTTAATTAATACAGTTTCTGTGTGATTATTTTGGGACTGAGCAGTCAGGAACAAACAAGTGACCTCCTCCAACAAGAGCTGAGTAATCATTTAGTTCTGGGGAAGTGATGAATCTCTCAGTAATTTAAAGGCAAATATTCCACGCTATTATATCTTAGTATCATAGTTTAGATTTTATGACTAAACCCACCACCACAGTCGAAGTTAAGATTATTTAGTTGGTGACTTATTACTTGGGTTCCTTCACTGATCCATTGTTCACAGCAATGGATACATGGTAAGTGTTCTGTTCCCCAGAGGTTTTCAGTGAAGAGAAGTCCTCTTCTCAGGGTACATATCATACTATCTAGAGACACAGAGGGTTACTTGTCACAACTGTATTCGTTTCTGTACTGGAAAGGGTACTACTGGCATCTAGTGGGTAAAAACCATAGTTGCTGGTAAATAGTCTATACACAATATTTATTCAGCCCACAATGCCAATAGTTCTAAAGTCGAGCAATCCTGAAGCAACTAATACAGAAAAAAATCCTTTAGCAATGTATCTACTACTTGAGAACCAATAAAACCAATAAAATGATGATATTTATTATTCTGATGAGCCTAGCACTGTGCTGTGCATGATAGCTAGTGTGTACTCAGTGATCCTATGTATCTGAACCTAAGCATTTAATAGATCTTAAGTTATGTTATCCTCAAAAGTTCCTGGAGTTAGCTGTATCCCTATTAGATATGTGAACCTAATGCATTCAAGAGTTAAGAAGTTTGCACAAGGGTCACAGAAGGTAAACTTGGGGACTGAAACTAGGATTGACTTTTAGAACCTAAGGCCTTGACCTTGATTCTCTGTTACTATCTCTCTGGTACAAAAGAAGAAGAAGAAAAACAAATTAACTTGGCTTTGAAGAACTTGCATTCTAGAGAGAAACCAGAAAATAAATAAGTGGGGTGATGACAGCCTCTGCTTAATGCTTTCATGAAATTATATGTATCTAATATAGAAATTCATAAAGTAGTAAATAAATAAATAAATTAGGCACTCAAAAGTTCTTTGAGCAAGTGAGATTTAGAGCAATAGGAAGGGGATAGCCAAGCTTCTGGAGATTGCTGTATCCACTGGGAACTCAAACCTGCATATCCTACAGTGAGAAGAGCAAGGGCCAATCCAAGAGGCAGAGAGAGAGAGAAAGGCAGTTGGTGCAACCCACACCATGTTAAGCCATCTGCAGCCATGATAGAAATTAGACCACTACAGTAAGAGTTTGTATTGGCACAGTCCACACTGTGCGAAGCTGTCTGCAGCCATGGTAGCGTATGGACCACTACGGTAAGAGTTTGTAATCAGGAGAGTGGCATGCTTTTGTTTGCATTTTCAAAGGACTGCTCCAGTAGCTGCATCAGGCAAGAGTGGAAATAATAGGCCAGTTCATGAAATAGCTCTAGCGTCAGTACCATGTACAACAATCCTTCATTAACCTTCCCTCTGCTCTTAACCTCAGATCACAGGGCAACAGCATGTTCCTCTGAAGCCGTGACTCTGGTTTCTGTCCAGCATTTATCTCATTTGGCCTAGAAAAGTGCAATTTATATACAATCTAGGGTTTGATCTGAGACTGTGGACAACTGGGTTGCTTGTCTCTAAAAGCTGTCATCTTAGGGATTGAGATTTCCCACCCAGCTCGAGGGTGGTGCTTTGAGAACGTCAGTACGACTCCAATAGCCTCTGACACTGCCAGCATTTCCCCTGCCACTGGAGACATCATCCACCCTCTGGCCAGATTTATCTCAGTTATGATCAGAAAGTGTTGCTGATTGTCTTCTTTGCTCAGACATCCGTGGCCTCTGGCTACACAAGAGGCAAGTAGCCTTTAATTACATCAAGGAAGCAGAGAATAGTTACTAAATATAGGGCTTCTTGACTGTAACCACATTACCAAGGCTTGCTTGGGTTTTAACAGAGGTCTTTAGTATAATGCTGGGCAAGAAAGCTCAGTTTACCAAGTTCTTGGGATAAATAACAAAGCAATGATGTCTTCATGAAGGTATTCATGAGTTTGTGTATGTATGTTTATGGTGTATATAAAGTATTTTTCATTAATATTCTCTACTCAAGGGCACTGTACTGATAAGATTAGCCCTTCTTAAAAACTACTTTTTGTATCAAGTAGAAAGAACTTAATCATCTTCAATGCATATCACTATAATTGATTAAGGACAAACTATGTATTTTTAGATTGACATGAATAATCACTGCAAAATGCTCCTTCTAGCCAACATTATGGAACATATTTCTTTGTGCATTACTGACCTGCCCTGCAGATGGTTTTGTGTCTCCGGTTATCATACTAATTGTTGTACTTTTACCAGCTCCATTGTGTCCTAAGAGCCCCAGAACTTCACCTGAAAGAAACGGGAATACTCAAGAACAGGCAAATACTTTCACAAAATAAAACTAAATACAATTTGTGGACTCTCTCTGTAAAGAAGTACTACACAAAATGTATTATGCTCTCTCTCTCGCTCTCTCTCTCTCTCTCTCTCTCTCTCACACACACACACACACACACACACACACACGATGTCATTACTAGTTTCATCTTAAAGGGGAGAAATCTGAGTCTTAAAGAATGCAGATAACTTGCTGAAGATAGGTTGCTAAGAGACCAAGTTGGAATTTCGAAGAGCGCTTGTTGCAGCCACGTCCACAGCAAGCACTACTTTCCTTCTCCAGACAGGTTCTTCCTACGCAGTTCCGATGGCCCTGGAACTCATGTAGACTTGAGTTCTACATGCCTTGAACTTAATACAATATTCTTGCTTTAGACTCCCAAGTTCTGGCATTATAGGCATGAATTGTTATGCCTAGTTATCATAAACTATTTGTTAAGAATGAAATAGGCACTACTGTGACTCAGTTAATCCTATGTATTATGAAAGATTTCAATTTATCCCTATGCCAGGGCTTAGAATGTATCTCATTGGTAGAATGTTTGCATAGCATTCATGAGGCCCTGGATTTATCCTCAATACTAAAAAAAATCATTTGAAATACTTAATAACTAAATTAAATCTGTACTATCCCTTTGACCTCTTGCAGTGGGTTTTAAAGAGAAAGGCTGTAACACTCTCTTCCTTTGCAAAGGAAACCCGTTATTACTAAAACAGTTATAATAACTCCTGGTGAGCCAGCTGCCTTTCAGTGCTCACCAACAGAGGATTCCAGTCTCACACTCATTGCCCCTTAGAAAGACCCAGGCTTCAGTGCCCACAACAGCTCTACTGACAGAACTGTGGTTCCCAACCTTTTTTAACACAGAAGGAGACGTTCCTTGTGGCGATCTTTTTCTTTGTTTTGGAGAAGCATTTTTTCTTTTTGCCTGCATACTCCTTCCGCAGACAGCTAGCAATGATGGCCGGCTTCTGTAAAGAGAGGTGAGCATTAGTGTAGTAGTCTCATTTGCGACCGAGAGACTTCTTCACACCCCTTCCACCGGGGCTTTCCTTGCATAGAATCATGAGTGAAACCACTCCTGATACAAGCTGCTGTTTTCAAGTGGATTCTGCCAAGTTCCTCTGTGGACATTTGCTTTGCAGTGCCGTGTGTGATTTGTGCTTGCTATTCTGCAGAGAACTGGAATGGGGCCACTCGCATAACAAGTGATTTAACACACACAAACATACACACAGAGAGAGAAATAGGCACACACACACATAAATACCTACAAACACACAGACACAGGCACAGAAACATTCACACACAGAGACATAAACACACACACACATAAACAGGTACATACATAGACAAATACACATACAGAGAAACAGGCACACAGACACACAGAGAAACAGGCATACACACATAAATACACACAAGCACACACAGACACAGATGCAGGAACTTGAGAACTCTCTTCTGAATTGTTTGCAACTAGCTTGACTTGGATTATAAAACTTATAAAAGTTGGGGCTGGAGAGATGCTCAGTGGTTAAAAGCACTTGCTGCACTTGCAGAGTTCTTGAGTTTGGTTTCTGATCCCCATACAAGGTGGCTCAGAACTGCCTGTAACTCCAGTTCTAGGGAAATCTGATGCCCTGATTTGACTATTAGCATTTGTGGGCTATGTAAAATGATGTCCATATATACACTCAGGCAATACATGTACACATAAAATACAAAACAGTTCTTTCAAAGAAACTCATTAAGGTCTTCAGTTTTCTAATGTTTGACTATATGTATCAAACTATGACTCTGAAAAACAAATTAATAAATTACTGTGTTGTGGTGTGTGTGTGTGTGTGTGTGTGTGTGTGTGTGTGTGTGTGTGTGTTCCCTATGCTTTTATAGCTCATGGGCACTACATACCTTCTGACATCATGTAATAAACAGACGAGCAGAAGAGCCCTCCTCCCCCACCAGACTTTTAAGAGAATTAAGATTGGAATGTTTCTCGCCAAGCTGGCAGAATTGTTTGCGGAAGAAAGGAAGGTTGTTTTTATGAGCACCACCTCGTTCATCTGTAGCGCAGTCACAGCACCTGCTGTTCTCATTCTTTCCGCCTGAACATCTTCATCCTCTTCTCCGGGTTCTTCTGGGTTTGGGAAAGCATTACAGCTTCTTGGGGAAATTCTGAAACCCAAACAGCAGGCTAAACTTATCCGTTGTTGAAATCGATGGACTGGACTCCTTTTATACGCTAATGTGTACCTTTCAAATACCTTCATTCTTTCTACCAATGAGTCAAACGATTCTTCTCCTATCCAGTCTTGCTAGTTACATAAATATAGTTCTCATAATCATTAATGACATTTCCCCCTTCAATTTGCAAAGCAGCACACCTTCACTGTCAGGGATGGGAAGGCATCTTTCCTTGAGGAAAAAGATCTCTAGAATGAAGTTGGGGTATGTTTTATGACTTTCAAGTTTAATAACAAAGGACCAGAGCCCTTGAAATTAGGAACATAGCCCAGTCAGTCCAGGATGCCTGATCAGCATCCCAATGTCCGCTCAGTTACCTGGAGTGCTATCTCTTAAGAATGTGTCAGTCAGACCTTCCTGCTGCTGTCAAACAAGACCTTTAATCAATTATAACAGAGTTGGCTGATTCTTAACCCCTCAGGTCATCTTAATTACTATTGGTTGGTTTCCCTAAATCATGTTGTCATCTAGTCACTTTTTTTTTCTAAAAATTTTTAATCAAATGTAGATTTGAGTTTGACTTTTATTTTATGGAAAAAGCTAGGTGTGTATAGTGGTTTGAATGAGAATGTCCTTTATAGACCTAGATACTTGAATGCTTAGTCATCAGGTAGTGAAACTGTTTTGGTAGGACTAGGAGGCGTGGTCTGGCTAGAGGAGCTGTGTCACTAGGGTAGGCTTTATGTCTCAAAAACCCAAGCCAAGTTCAGTCTCCCTCTCTATGTCTCTGCCTGCTGCCTGTGCATCAGGATGTAAGCATCTCAATTAGTGCCCCAGCACCACACCCATATGCTTCCCACCTTGTTCATCATGTACTAAACCTCTAAATCTTTAAGTAAAGCCTCCAATCAGGTGCTTTCTTTTTATAAGAGTTGCCTTAGTTATGGTGTCTCTTCAAAGAAACAGAATAGTAACTAAGTGTGCAAAATGCACTCACATGGTCAGTTGCTCATTCAACTATTTTCAATACTTTCCCCATACTTCCCTATTTCAGTGTCTTCCAATATCCAGCTTCACTTTTATTTCCTGCTATCCTCCAACACAAGCCTTTAAATGTGTCCCAGCTCTCTCCTCAAGTCTATGGGGAAGGGCCTGCATCCTGACTTTCAACCATTGACTTATTGCTCAATGTATTTCCCTCTTGGACTGCCAACATATATCCAATTGCTTATCTGTATTTGTCCATTCTTTTAAAGATACCACCTCTTGTATATGACTCCAGTGTCAGGGTCTTGTGTATGCTAATGTCACCTTTCCTGCTATTATAATTTTGCCAATAACTCAGGCCCTTAAAAACAATCATCAGTTGTTTCCCCCACCTTGACTAATTAATTTAGGCGTGTTAAAATGTCTAAAGAATGAAAATTAAATGAGACATAAAATTCTATTTGAATGCTTTCAACCTGAACACAGGGTCCATTCTCAGCGATTTCTTCCTGGAGTACCTTTCCAGACAGCGCAGAACAAAAAAGAAAAGGAGAAAATGGAAGTAAGGCTAGGGACAGAGAAAGAAAGACAAAATTAGCTTCATCATAATAAAACCAATTGCTTTCATATGGGAGTTAATTTAATGAGACTGATCATCTATAAAATGGGGTTTGATAACATTCTCACAAACCTGAACACAATCTATTTGATATTGTCTGAAGCTGCCAAAGTTAGCACTTTTGTTACTCAAAAAAAGGACTAATATGAACATAATAATAGTAGGCCAGGGAGAAAGTGCAGTTCATAAAGACGCTTGTCGCCAAGGCTGATGACCTAAGTTCAGTACCCAGGACCCATATGGTGGAAGGGAAAATGACTCCCACAAGGTGTTCTCTGACTTCCGCATGCATGCCATAGCATGCACTCTCCCCCAAGCAAATAGAAAAATAAATAAATATAAAAATGCCAGCACAGTAGTAATGAGTGAATACAAGTCCTACTAATGCTGTTCAGAGTTGTCATCAAATGATCACGGTCATGTTGCATATGTGTGGTGTGTGTGTCACTTCTTATGCCCAAAATGTCCACATAATTTTTTAATTTGTTGAAACTCAAAGAAACATTTAAAATGTACAAATGTGATGGAGGAGGGTTAACTGTCTATGTGTTACTTTCATTGGTTAATAAAGAAACTGCCTTGGCTTTTGATAGGACAGCAGCTTAGGTAGGTGGAGTAGACAGAACAGAATGCTGGGAGGAAGAAGGCAGTGACGCAGATGCCATGACTCTCCTCTCCAAGACAGCCACATGTTAGAATCGTCCTGGGAAGCCACCACCTCGTGGTGCTACACAGATTATTAGAAATGGGTTAGATCAATATGTAAGAGTTAGCCAATAAGAGGCTACAGATAATTGGCCAAGCAATGTTTAAATGAATACAGTTTCCGTGTAATTATTTCGGATAAAGCTAGCCAGGAGCCAGGTGGCGGGACACAGCCCGCCGCTCCCTCTACACAAATGCTGTCCTGTGTTGTGGAGGTCCTGAAGGTTTGGTCTGCGGGTCAAGCCCCTGCATGTGCTTCAGCAGGTTGCAAATGGGGTGGATGTTGGGACACACCAAGTCATAACCCTGGTTCTGGGCCTGGGCAGCTGCTGGGTCCTCGTGAGGACCCAGCATCAACAGTGTCATTGAAACCAGAGGGCTCCAAGCAGACCAATGACTCTTTGCAATGAATACTTTCAAGTAAAGATACATGAATAAAGGGGTTTACTACGTGACTTAATGTGTCACATTGCAGCTTCCACAACAAGATTTCTAATCTCCCCCTTTTTTCTCTCTTAAATTTTGTTTTATATTGGGGGAGGCAGAGTGTAGGTGAGAAGGGACTGGGAAATGGATGAGATCAAGATGAACACCGTAAAGGACAGAGGATAAATAAAGAGAAAGTAAGAAAATGTACAAATGTGTCTCCTAGTGCAAAACCATTAAAAAGGAAATGCCATCTTACTATGAGCAATGCCAGAAACACAACTTGAGATTCTGAGGCTCCTATGTAATCCATAGAGTCATAAGAAATCTGCAAAATGAGAAGACATGTTGACATGAATGCTCCTATTCATAATTCATCCTTTCTACAATGAATCTATGTAACCTGGGTACTGGGTGGAGTCTGTTTCTGACTATGGTAGTTTGTTCTTGTTCCTCAGTGTTTCCATGAACTTGAGCTTGTCCCCAGACCAGGAGGCAGGATATTGTTCTGTGCCACACCGGGAGTGAGCAAGACTGTGGACAGTGCAGGCAGGGCCCTGAAGACACAGGCAAGCCTTTCTGAAGTTAACCCTCTCTGTGAGCTTTATTTGTAAGATCACAAACAGAATATCACCACATTCATGCATTTTCTTCTGGTATCAAAATGCTAATCCTGCCTCAAACATGTCACACACAGGCAATGACTGTCGACAGCAACCTCTCCACTTGTACACTCATGCTGATGGTTTTCACCCGGCTTTTCAGAGTTTACTCCCTGGATAATGTTCCTCTCCATAACTATGAGAAATTTCCTATTTCACATCAGCGCAGTATGACATTGCTTAGGAAAAAAATGAATTAAAAACATTGGCCATCTTCCTGATTCACCTGTTCGTCACTTCTGCTATCTTGACAGAAAATGCATAGGCATACTTGCCGAGAGACGCCGCCAGCGCTTGCTCGCCTAACAGTCTCTACCAGGCTCATTTGGTAAAGCTGATGCTTCCGTCAAAACGGACACCGCTAATGTCACCAGTGACCTTCATGTCCTTAGACAGAATTGTCTTTTCCCAGTATCCTTCTGGACTGTTCAGTAGCAGTCGGTGGCTTAATCGGTCTTTACGTATAGAAACATTCCTATTTCACCCCTGGAAACGGCCACTTAGCTGCGTGGGTGAGGGGATGTGGTGGTCTGAAGTCAGCCATTTCTCTGGCTCCTATTCACTCCCACTGATTTACTCACACTTCCTCTCTCCAAACCTCTAAAGTTTGGAGTTCAAGGTCAAGTCCTGGCTCTCTTTTTAGTTGAACTTCTATCTGCTGTGTAAGCTATATTACTAAGTTATACTGTTGTTACCAACACCCATAAACTGATAAATCTCAGGTATCTCGGTCTCCCCATAGGCTAGACTCCAGATCAATATATGCAACTTGGCTGTTGTGTGCTCCTTTTCACATAATACATCCTACTGTGAACAGAAGAGGGGCTTTCCTTTTGACTTATAGGGCTCCTAGGAATGAAGACTGTGAAATGCTTCTAGTCTGGAGTTGCCTTGGGCTTCATGAACCAGGGCAGGACTTTCTACTAACAGGGAGTGCGGCTGTGCCCTTTGTACGTTCTATAGAAATCACTTCCTGGGAATCACAGCTTCAAACACTGCATGCCAGGAGCTGACTTGCCCTGTGTTTCTCATCCTCGAGACTTCCTTCGCTGGCTTTACACTTGAAGATGGTAGGAGAAGAAGAAGACGACTTACCTCAGAAAAAATGAATAGAGAGCCAACCAGCGTGAAGGGTGGAATTAAAAGGGTGCCGAATAGGAGCCCTAGAAATCCGTACGCATTTATCTGAGTAGCAACTAAAGAGAAGATGGTGACCTGAAATGAAAGCACAGTCTGGTGTCACTGAAGTGTAGTGATATGAACTACAGCTTATTTTCAAAGAGAACAGGAATTCATCTCATCAGTGTTCCTATTATAGATTTCTGCCTCATGCAATAGAGCAATGCCAATGTACTTTCCCCTTTGTGTTACAAGCTAAGTCATAATTTTATTGGAAGGCATTTGTTGTTAGGAGCCACTTGTTGATTCCTGGCTGCTCAGTCCCGAAATAATCACACAGAAACTATATTATTCAAACCACTGCTTGGCCCATTAGCTCTAGCTTCTTATTGGCTAACTCTTACATCTTAATTTAACCCATCTCCATTAATCTGTGTATCATCATGAGTTTGTGGCCTACCAGCAAAGTTTTAACACGTCTGTTTCCAGTGGTGGCTGCATGGTTTCTCTCTGACTCTGCCGTCTTTCTCCCAGCGTTCAGTTTAATTTTCCCAGCTTACCTAAGTTCTGCCCTATCAACAGGCCAAGGCAGTTTCTTTATTCCCAAATTGTATTCAAAGCATACAGAGGGAAAACCCACATCAGGCATTGCTTTTCAAACAATATGTATAAAAAGCAGATTTTGATGATGGCATTTTTTGGTTATTCTCTTCTATGCATTTTTTTTACTTCTACATAAATCTTGGATATATTTCTAAGTCTAAGGATACTGGCTATTAATTTTCATAGCTGGATATTTTCTTGATTGAATATGTAAGAATTTATAATTTTGTCTTCAAATTTTGAGGCGGGGAGGAGGTGGAAATTTTTAATAAATAAATAAATAAATTTTAAAAAAGAAAAAAACCCAAAAAAACCCAAAATTTTGTTATTGGATTTTTTTGATTATATTAATTGTGGTATATCTTAATATTTTCCATATTGATGCTTTCAGTGTTAGAGATTAAAATCTTTTTATTAAGTTTCCCATTCCTATTATTATTTTATGTGTACAGGATTTTATTTTTGCCTACACGTACGTCTGCATACTATGTGAATGCCTAGTACTTGGGGAGGCCAAAAGAGGATGTTGGATTCCCTGGGATAAAAGTTATAGACATCTGTGAGCCACCATGTAAGTCCTCTGGAAGAGAAGTCAACACTTTTAACCATTTGTCCATATGTCCACCTCCCACAAATAAAAATCTTCTTGGGCAATTAAAAATCAGCAGTTGTCTAAAATATTTTCAAAAAGTTTGTGACAATCTGTTCCTCTAAAAGCCATGAGTGGAGTGTGCATGATGCCATGCCTCAGCCACTCAAGGTGTTCTAGTTAACTCTTGTAGCTATCACTGTCCAACTGCCAACACCAAATGAGTAATTCATAATCTTAACATTTAATATGGGATTTGCCATTGGCATCTCACATCTGTGCTCTTGAATCCATGTTTGTTTTTTACCGGGCATGTTTCAGAAACCACGTGATGTTTCCTCAACATATGTGATTTCCACATTTATTTTGATAGTTGCTAATACTCTATCAACATTGCATTCTAGAGTCAGTCATTGTTGGTTATTGTTCATTATTATTCTTTTTGAAATATTTAGATATTTTTACTCTTTGCAAGCTACCATACATTTATACACTGTACACTGATCATATGCATCCAACACTACCTTCTCCTCCTTCTAGTACCATACTCAATGTCTGGCTCCGTGTCCTCATTATTATTATTATTATTCTTTTAAGTTTCTTCCAAGCCAGACAAGTTTAATTAAACCCAGAGCTCAGGATGCAGAGGCAGGCAGATCTCTGTGAATTTGAGGCCAGCCTGATCTACAGAGTGATTTCCAGGACAGCAAATGCTACACAGAGAAACTCTATCTCGAAAAACCATAAAAAGAAGACAAGTTCTTGTAGGCTGGCTTTACTGTCTTTTTTATCTAGAATACTATCCTTTGTCTAAGTAGATATAACAAGAATTTTCATAGACATGCACACATGTGCACATGTATACATGCATAGGTCTCTTCCCATCTGCACACACACACACGCACACACATACACATACACACACAGGTACACATGTAGTACAGCATTACTCATGTAAAGCAAGTACTTTATCTCTAAGCTACAGACCCATTAATATTATCTTTCCCAATTTTAAAATCATTTTCCAAAAAGAACAATACTCTTTATGTTTTTTTTAACCTGTCTAAGGATTTAAATATGTTATCTCTTTTTCAAAATTTTATTTAATCTCCAGGGACATTTTGTATGAGAGTTTATTATTATTGCTGTACCATCTATAGGTCTTGTTAAAGTTATAATAACATGTATTTACCATTATTGTATTATACAAAACAGGTCATTTCCATAAAAGTTCTCCAGGCTTACCTACACATCTTTCTACATCCAAAATTCTTGACACCAACTAAACTTTTTATTATTTTCATAGTTTTTCTGGAATACCATGTAATTAAAATCATGATATGTAGAAGCACAACCTGGCAGGAGGCAGTTCCTGTGTTTCAATAGCCTGCCTGAGGACAGGTAGGCCCTGTGTCAACTCAGCGACATTCCTGGCCAGCAAGGGGCACTGATCCTCTAGCAGACATCCATCAGAGGGGTGAGTTTGCTCCTGGCCTGTGGCAGAAGCCCAGCAAGGAGAAGTTCAGACTTTCCCCAACCCCCTTGACTCCCTGGTCACCCTGCAGGGGTGGCTCCACCCTGCTAAGCTCTCCCGCCTCCTATCCCAGCTTTCACCCAGGTACACCTTCCTCTATTCCTCCCTTCCCCCTGGGGCCATAAAATTTCCCCAGCTCAGCTGCCTTGGGAGCTGGGCCTGGGCTGTAAGTGCAACCCGGCAGGAGGCAGTTCCTGTGTTTCAATAGCCTGCCTGAGGAAAGGTAGGCCTTCTGTCAGTGAAGCCCCTGTCCAACAAGGGAACCTGACCTGGTATCAGAAGATCCAATAGAGAGCTTTTGAAGGAAGAGATGGGCAGATGCCAAGGCAAGAACTCCTCCAACAATCTGAAAAACAACATGAAAACACCAGATCCAAGCGATCCTACAATAGAAGGACTTGAACACCTTAATCCAGAAGAAGTGGAAAAAAAGTGCCATTATGAAAGCAATAGAGTTCCTTAAACAGGATATGAATAACTCCCTTAAAGAACTGGATAAGAAGTATAACACAAAGTTTGAAGAAATGAGTAAAGAAATGGATGAGAAGTATAACAAAAAGTTTTAAAGATGAGTAAATCCATAAATGATACCCTGGGAAACCAAGAAAAAACGATCAAACAGGTAATGGAAACAGTTCAAGAATTGAAAACTGAAATGAAGGCAATGAAGAAAACACAAACCGAGGGCCGACTGGATATGGAAAATCTAGGTCAACGAACAGAGTCTACAGAATCAAGCATAACCAATAGAATACAAGAGATAGAAGAATGAATCTCAGATTCTGAAGATACCATAGAGAAAATAAACGCTCTGATCAAAGAAAATGGCAAATCCAACAAATTCTCATCACAAAACGTTCAAGAAATCTGGGACACAATTAAAAAAACCAAATCTAAGAATAATAGGGATTGAAGAAGGAGAAGAATTGCAGATCAAAGGCCCAGAAAATATATTCAACAAAATTATAGAAGAAAACTTTCCCAACCAAAGGAATGATATTCCTATGAAGATTCAAGAAGCATGTAGAACACCAAATAGACTTGATAAAAAAAATCCCCTCGCCATATAATAATCAAAACACAAACATACAGATTAAAGAAAGATTATTAAGAGCTGCAAAGGAAAAAGGTCAAGTAACTTATAAAGGTAAACCTATCAGACTTACACCGGACTTCTCTATGGAAACCATGAAAGCCAGAAGGTCCAGGATAGAGGTACTGCAGAAACTAAGAGACCATGGATGCAAACCCAGACTATTATACCCAGCCAAGCTATCATTCACTATCAATGGAGAAAACAAAATATTCCAGGATAAGAACAAATTTAAACAATTCGTAGCCACAAACCCAGCCTTACAGAAAGTAATAGAAGGAAAATCGCAACCTAAGGAATCCAACATTGCCAACACTGCCTACAATAACTCAGACATCTAGCGACCCTTCACGAGCTTAACTCAAAGAAGGGACACATACAAACTCTATTAAACAAACAAACAAAAAATAATAATAACCAGAGTCAACAACCACTGGTCATTAATATCACTTAATATTAATGGACTCAATTCACCTATAAAAAGGCACAGACTAAGAGATTGGATACGAAAACAGGATCCAACATTCTGCTGTTTACAAGAAACACCCCTCAACAACAAAGACAGACATCTACTCAGAGTTAAGGGTTGGGAAAAGGTTTTTCAAGCAAACGGACCTAAGAAACAAGCAGGTGTGGTCATTCTAATTTCCAACAAAATTGACTTCAAACTAAAATCAATCAGAAGAGATGGAGACGGACATTTTATACTCATGACAGGAACAATTCATCAGGAAGAAGTCTCAATCCTGAATATCTATGTCCCAATATAAAAGCACCCACTTATGTAAAAGAAAAACTTTTAGAACTCGAGGCAGTTATCAAACCACACACACTAATAGTAGGAGACTTCAATACACCTCTCTCACCAATGGACAGGTCAATCAGACAGAAACCCAACAGAGAAATAAGAGAATTAATAGAGGTAATGAATCAAATGGACTTAACAGATATCTATAGAACATTCCACCCAAATAGGAAAGAATATACCTTCTTCTCTGCAGCTCATGGAACCTTCTCGAAAATTGACCACATACTCGGTAACAAAGCAAACTTCTACAGATACAAAAAAATATTAGTAACCACCTGTGTCTTGTCAGATCACCATGGAATAAAGTTAGAATTCAATAACAATTCTAACACCAGAAAGCCTACAAACTCATGGAAGTTGAACAGTCAACTACTGAATCACCCCTGGGTCAAGGGAGAAATAAAGAAAGAAATTAAAGTCTTCCTTGAATTTAACGAAAATAAAGACACAACATACTCAAACCTATGGAACACAATGAAACAGTGCTAAGAGGAAAGTTCATAGCACTAAGTGCCCAATTAAAGAAAATGGAGAAAGCACACATTGGAGACTTAACAGCACACCTGAAAGCTCTAGAAAAAAAAGAAGCAGACTCAACCAGGAGGAGTAGAAGACTGGAAATAATCAAACTGAGGGCTGAAATCAACAAAACACAGAAAGCAATCCAAAGAATCAACGAAACAAAAAGTTGGTTCTTGGGGAAAATCAATAAGATTGACAAACCCCTAGCCAAACTAATCAAACGGCAGAGAGAGAACATTCAAATTAATAAGATCAGAAGTGAAAAGGGGGACATAACAACAGACACAGAGGAAATTCAGAGAATCATTAGATCCTACTACGAAAGCTTATATGCCACAAAGTTGGAAAATGTACAAGAAATGTACTGGTTTTTAGATAAGTACCATTTACCAAAGTTAAATCAAGACCAGGTGAACAATCTAAATAGACCTGTTAGTCATGAAGAATTAGAAGCTGTTATTAAAAACCTCCCGACCAAAAAAAGCCCAGGACCAGATGGTTTCAATGCAGAATTCTACCAGAACTTCCAAGGAGTGCTAATACCTATACTTCTTAATGTATTTCACAATATAGAAACAGAAGAGTCATTGCCAAATTCTTTTTATGAAGCTACAGTTACCCTGATACCAAAACCACATAAAGATACAACCAAGAAAGAGAATTACAGGCCAATATCACGCATGAACATCGACGCAAAAATTCTCAACAAAATCCTGGCAAACCGAATCCAAGAACACATTAGAAAAATTATCCATTATGATCAAGTAGGCTTCATCCCAGAGATGCAGGGTTGGTTCAACATACGCAAATCTATCAATGTAATCCATCATATAAATAAACTGAAAGAAAAAAACCATATGATTATTTCATTAGATGCTGAAAAAGCATTTGACAAAATTCAACACCCCTTTATGATAAAGGTATTGAAGAGATTGTGGATACAAGGATCATTCCTAAATATAATAAAAGCTATTTACAGCAAGCCGACAGCTAGCATCAAACTGAATGGAAAGAAACTCAAAGCCATTCCATTGAAATCAGGAACACGTAAAGGCTGTCCACTCTCCCCATACTTCTTCAATATAGTGCTTGAAGTTCTAGCAATAGCAATACAACAACATAAGGGGATCAAGGGGATTCGAATTGGAAAGGAAGAAGTTAAACTCTCGTTATTTGCAGATGATATGATAGTGTACATAAGCGACCCCAAAAACTCTACCAAAGAACTCCTACAGCTCATAAACACCTTTAATAATGTGACAGGGTACAAGATCAACTCCAAAAAATCAGTTGCCCTCCTATACACAAAGGATGAAAAAGCAGGGAGGGAAATCAGAGAAACTTCACCTTTCACGATAGCCACAAATAGCATAAAATATCTTGAGATAACTCTAACCAAGGAAGTGAAAGACCTATTTGACAAGAACTTTAAGTCTTTAAAGAAAGAAATTGAAGAGGATACCAGAAAATGGAAAGATCTCCCCTATTCTTGGATTGGGAGAATCAACATAGTAAAAATGGCAATTCTACCAAAAGCAATCTATAGATTCAATGGAAATAGAAAACGCTTTACTGAGTGAGGTAACCCAGACACAAAAAGAGGAATATGGCATGTACTCACTCATAAGTGGATTCTAGCCATAATTAAAGGTCTTTGAGCCGATTAGTCGTGATCCTAGAGAAGCTAAATAAGAAGATGAACCTGAAGAAAATCATGTAGTTATCCTCCTGGATATTGGAAGTAGCCAAGAGTGCCAGGCAACCTTGGATGCACGGGGGGGGGGGGGGGGATGGGAGGGGAGAGGGTTAGAGAGAGGGGAGTAGGGGAGGATTGGGGAAAGCTTGGGGGATTGGGATGGGGGAGGGAGAAAGGATGGATATGGGAGCAGGGAAGTATATATCTCAACTAAGGGAGCCATTTTAGGGTTTACAAGAGACTTGATTCTTGAGGGGTTCTCAGGTCCAAGGAGAGATCCCCAGATTGTTCCCTGGACAGCAGAGGAGAGGGTGCCTGAACTGGCCTTGGCCCATAACCATACTGATGAATATTTTGGCGATGGATGGAGATAGAGACAGAGACTGGACTGAGCCCCCAAGATCCAAATGAGGAGCAGAATGGGAGAGAACATGAACAAGAAAGGCAGGACCATGAGGAGAGTGTTCACCCACTGATACAAGGGGACTGATCTAATGAGAGCTCACCAAGGCCAGCTGGACTGGGACTGAATGAGCACGTGATCAAACCGGATTCTCTGAATGTGGCTGGCATGGGGACTGCCTGAGAAGCCATTGATAATGGCACTGGGACTTGTTTCCTCTGCATGTACTGGCTTTTTGGGATCCTAGTCTGTTTGGATGCTCATCTTCCTAGACCTGGAGGGAAGGGGGAGGAACTTGAACTTCCCACAGGGCAGGAAACCCTGACTGCTCTTAGGGATGGAGAGGGAGTAGGAGGGGGAGTGAGGGGAGTGGGAGGGTGTTGGGAGGAGGGGCGGAAGTGGAAACTTTTATAAATTAATAAAAAAAAGAAAACAAAAAAAAATCATGATATGTAGCATTTTCATGTTGTCTTTAAATTTATTTCTTGTCTTTCCAGGGGTTGATAGCTCACTTCTTGTTAGAACCAAATAAAATTATATCACATAGATATACTTTCATTTATTTAATCATTATCATCTTGATATATTTTTGTTAGCTTTATATTTGGGCAATTATTTATAAAGATGTTATAAACACTGGTAAAATTATTGTGTGTACCGAAGAGTTTTATTTGGCTTTTGTTTTGAAGAAACTGCATAAGAAATAAATCCCTTGAGTTCATGTTGCTGTAAACAACTCATTTACAAAATATATCAAGGCAAGTATATAAAAATGCCTAAGAATTCTACTGCTAGGTTTGTATCCCCAAATACATATATGCATGTATACAAATGTGCCAAGTATACACAACACGGACTTCCTATCAGTATTATTAATAATAGCTCCAAACAGGAAGTCATTTGGTAGACATCAGCAATGGATAAATCAATTGATGGATATATCTATCAATGGTATAATATAGCAACGGAAAGAAATGAATGGCTGTGAGGTAGAAATCTCTTCCTCCCAGATACCTCAAGCTCTGTAGACATACACCCCCACATACAGTTCAATTTCCATAGATTTATCATTATCTTAGAGCAGTTAAGATTTTGTAAAAAGAATTATTAATTTGCCATTCTGCTTAGTGCAATGATATGGTCCTTGAGGCTGGGAAGGCTTAGTGTTTAAGAGCTCCTGCTGCCCTTCAAGGGGACCCAGGTTCATTTCTCAGGCATACGTGGCCTCTCATAACCATCTCTAACTCCAGTTCCAAGGGATCTGATGTCCTCTTCTGAACTCCACAGGGACAGGCACACATGTGCTACACATACATACAAGTAGGCAAAGTCACATATGCGTAACAGAAAATAATGAAGTCCAAAACAGATTTTAACTAAAATAAAATACATGTTCCTAGATTTATTCAAGAAAGTTAAAAATAAAACAAGAAGGAAACATCACAGGCATACTTACAGTCAAGAAGAAAAGTGACCAAACACCACTATTTTTTCTACCATTACGAAAAATGAATGAAATTATATATGTCAAGAAAACAAGAGATGATGCATATCCAATACTGCACAGGGTCTGAAAACAGAAACATTCAGGTTACAAAGGTGACTACCACTTCGGAGAGTATTCATAATTACTCCTCAACTCTTCAAAATAACAGCAGAGGCAATTTGAAATTCTTTGGATTAACAATTATAATACTGGTGGGGGAGGCTAGGCAGGAAGAGAGGGAATGAAAAGACCCCCTGCTGCCATTTCCTTTCCAGGCATCATTTGAGACATGAGTACCTAAATGTCTGCTTCCTCTCAAACGAATGGCCTAACTGATGACTGCTAATACCTGGTACATAAGGAATTTTGAAAATGTAAGAGTAGACAAATTTAATTAATTTAAATGTGCTCAAATGGAACATTTATAAACTGCTTGTGATGAATTTTTGAGTATTAGTCTTCTATGGCTTGATAAACCAGTGTGAAGAACCTTCTATTGGTAGTACATGGATACAACCAGTCATGATGATGGTAACTACATGATACAACTACCATGATGATGGTAGTACATCAATACAACCGGTCAAAGTGCAGAGTGTAAGAGATTGCAGAACGCTTAGTCCTAAACAAGACATAAACACCACTAAACACCACATAACACTACATAAACAGTCCTAAACACCACTCACCTCTCCCCACCAGCTCAGAGGTCACTGCAGAAGAGGGAGGAGGTGACATGAATGTAAGAGCCTGAGGTGGTAAATGACCAAAAGAAACATCTGGACACAGCAGGACAGCTGCCCCTGTGAACTCATGCACCAGACCTTGCAGGCTCAAGCCAGACCAAATCTCAGTATGGAGAGAAAGGTTAGACCTACAATTCCACTCCAAGCCATGGAGCTACTGGCAAGTATTAGCTATGGAGAGGTGGTGTTTTCTAAGAATGTAGCCACTGGCAAATTGTATAATCTCCAGTTGAAGACCATACTTGTCAGACTACTTGGGCAGCATGGGTTGGTCTGGAAAGATTTTTTTTAAAGGAAGTAAGACTTGAAACCAGAGTAGTAGCCATGATGGCTTCATGTCAAAGCAGGAGCCATATTGCTGCTCAGTACCCATACCCTACAAGAATAGGTTTCTAGGGAAAAGGGGTGTACTGGGAGAGAGGAGACAAAAAGAGGAGTCAGGAGAAACTGTGGTTGGTATGTAAAATAAATAAATCAATTAAAATAAGCAAATAAATGTAAGAGGGAATAAGTTTCTGTTTTCTAAACCTGATGCACCTTGCAAAACTTGTCTTTGAACCTACACTGAACTCGTGACCACATGATGCATGACTATCCCTTGCCTTGTAAAATGTGTTTTCAGGATACCTTTATCTACCCCCATGGCCACTAACCTCAAGTCAGTAGAGCTTGAGACTCAATCTCAGGGTCATGGGTTCGAGCCCCACATTGGGCACCAATTTGTTGTAAAAGCCCGCTTGTTTGTCTTTGGCTGCTCAGCCCCAAAATAACCACACAAAAACTGCATTAATTCACCATGAGGCTGTGGCCCATCAGCAAAATTTCAGCGTGTCTGTCGCTGGGGGAGACTGCTTGGCTTCTCTCTGACTCCGCCTCCTTTCTCCTAACATACAATTATGTTTTCCCCACCTTGCTCTGTTCTACCCTATGAGACCAAGCCAGTTTCTTTATTAACCAATGGTATCCACACATACAGAGGGGAACCCCACATCAAATAACTCTCTACTTACATGATGCATATTCTTACTTTTGTTCTTGTGTTTTTCACTGTCTTTTTCCTAACAGCCCCTGTGAACACCTTGTAACTGTTTTCTTTTAACCTTACGGCTTCCCCCATAAAAAGGGACCTCAAAAAGCTAGCCCAGGGCTGCTCTCTAAAATTCTGACTTAGGGAGAGACACACGGCTGGCCAGTCCTGGGTGTACCTTTAAAATAAAGTTTGGTGTCTTTGGTTAGTTGTGGAAGTGTTTTTTTCCCTCACATATCTGAGATCCACAAAGGTTGGGCAGGTGAACTGGGGAGGAGTTGAGGGACAGGGGTACACATACGATCAAGCTATGCATGAAACTCTCAAAGAACTACCTTAAGATAAACTGTTTCTGTCCTTTCGGGAGACAATAGTAGTCCCAGGGACGCTTGGAACCAGCTGCTAGGTTCATGGCAGGGGCTTCAAAATGGCCCAACATTAAAGGGCACAGTGACCATATAAGATGGTGTCTGTTAGTCGTTCTTTGTCCAAGATTAATACAATAGAAAGGCAAGCCAATTAATTACCAGTGCTGTTAGTTACTGCCTCTTCTTATTGTTTTCAGATCCTGAGACCTCAGACTCCAGAGCACTGTCAGCTCACCACAGGACTAAGTCAAATAATATTGATAACAATGTGCAATAGTTCCCACTCTGTTGATCCAAAAGTGTGGAGAGCTGTTTTGGGGCTGATTTTGTGCCAAAACCCCTATCAGCCTGGAAAAGGACAGTTTTTTGCGTTCTATCAGTGAAAATGCCTATCTTGTTCTTTCTCTTTTCACAGAGTTCTACTTTTTCTCCAAGGCATATCTCCTTGTTTGTACTCTACCAAAGTCTAACTCCCTCACTTTTGTTCCAGTGCCCCTCTCTTCTTGGCAGTTAGTTGATGATATTTCAAGCTTGTATGTCCTGGGATTGTCTCTTTTGAACCTTAATAAATTGTTCTCAAGTTCCTTTCTAAGTACATTTTTAAATTCTTTTATCAATGGTACCCAGACAGAACCTGCAAAGGGGACTCTGTGGTCCTAGTGACAACATTTGTGGGAAAAGATGCTCCAATAAAACTTTATTCCAAAATGTAAGGGTTTCTAAATTTTTACCACTTACCTGAATTAACAGGTTTTCAATTATAAATATAATCTCCTCCTGGCTGAAAACATATTCCATTATTTGCATGAGAAGGAGAATCGAAAAGTACAGGGGAATGTCCACCAGAGCCTGTCCACACCAGTAGGCAGAAGGGTATAGGCCTGAGATCCACAGTTGGGAAAGAACTTTTCTCTGATAAAAAAACAAAAAACAAAAAACAAAAACAAAACCCAGAAAGATCATTATAAAATTCTAAAAAGCTGAGACAAGAGTAACTGTAAATATATAATTAGGGCAACTAGTTTTACTATATACCTTTATAGTTATTGCTTTTGTTTTGCAAATGACATTGCCATTTGCCACAGCCACACCCTAGAGGAAGTGGTAATATTTCAAAATGAGACAGATAAATGATTGACTCAATTTCCATAAGGGTATTTATCTAGGACTTGAACATTTTTTAATACTATCAAGAATATTGATGTTAATAGATCTTTATCCAACACTTTCCATGTTTAATTTTCTTTGGATAAAAATTGATAAACTGTTGGGCATGGCTCTTGGATTGGCAGCTATTGGATTCTGTGCTTGGCTACTTTGAGCAGGGACAGTAGAGACAGGACCTCTAGTCCCAGGGAATTGGCACAATTTAGTGACCTCTGTGGGCACCAGATGCACGTGATACATAGCACACATGCAGACAAACACTCCTACACTCAAAATAATTCGTAAGGAATAGGAGAATGAAAACTGACCCATTGTTCATTGAAATACGAAGTGATAGACTAGGTATAATTTAGAGGAAAAAATAATCCTATTTTTAATAGTGTTCATTCCTAGGGAGAAAAAAACAGTTAACCAATGTGAAAAGCCCTGTGATTTTAAGTGCCATTTAAATATTTCTTAAATGAGTTCACATGGCAATGATGGGTAATCAATTCTGACTTACTCACTTGGGGGTGGCTTGGTCTGAAATAATTTTGGGGCTGAGATATGAATAACAAGAAGTCTTCTGTAAAAAGAACAGGGTAAAGGAGCAGGCAATGAGTCTCAGAGAATGATCAAGTGATATTTGATAATGGTAAGTGTGAAAGCCATGTTGAAAAGTGTGATGAGCAAAGGGAAATATGCAGAAAGAAAGAAAGAGGAGAACTGGACAGAAGCTGAATAGTGCACGGCTCTGACGGGCAATGCAAAAAATTAAGACAATCCTAGCTGCAAGGAGAAGTTAACCAGATACTGCTGTTTGAACTTCTGAATGCTCTTTCTGGTTGGGTGGAAGGATTCACTGCAAGTAAGGATGCCAACAGGTAGCTACTGCAGTGGTCCCGGCAGGAAGAGTAATGATACAGACTAGGATATAAACAGTGACAGTAAGAAAGTGATACATTTGACCAATAGAAACACAACATAAAGGAATTACAGGTGGAATGTAAAAGGAATAAGGAAAGAAACAAAGATAAATCCAGAATTTTACACCAGAGCAAATGTAGATAATAATAACACTGAGGTAAAAAGAGGTTAAAGTTGAGAGATCAACTCAGGAATTTTTTTCTTTTGGTTCATATTTGAAATATCTATTTCTCATCTCTGTGAAAATATCAGGTGGTTTGTAATATATGTGAACATTGATAATTCTGGACTAAACTCTATGGTAGAGGGCCGAAAGGCCTTGCACACACAGATAAGCACTGGAGAAGCCGGGAAAGTCAGACACACAGCTCACCTCTTCAATGGAATGCATTGTGCAGCTGCTCTTCCTCGAATGATGCAGTTATACCACCTGGTAATCCTTTGCTATTTGATAAGACAGACTCTGCCTTATCTCCCAGAATTTGTTCTTACTTATCCAAGACCTTTCCCCTTAAGCCTGGATCATTGCTTTTAGAGCATTAAACCCACTCTTAAGAAAGGGACAAGAACAGCCACCAGGGAAGAAAGATGTGTGGTAACAAGGCACAAGCCTCATGACAAAATACAGAATAATAAAATGGAGTAATTTAAGTTGTAAGACCTAGTTAATAAGCTAGAGCTAATAGGCCAAACAGTTTATGATTAATATGTTTCTGTGTGATTTCTTGGGACTGGGTGGCTCAGTCTCTAGTTACAAATGGCACCCAACATAGGGGGAAATGAAAGCACAGCCTCCAGTTACACCCACCGTTAATTCAACTGTAACTATCATGCAATTCATCAGTGACAAACTAAGGCAATCGTGTGATTAAACAGCTTACAAAATGTATTCAGCCTGAAAATGGAAGCATTAAGATCAGAATAGACTCAAATCACCTCCAGTCAAAAAAGACATCTTCTGAGCACTCATGTGGTTCAAGGTGATGTAACAAGCACCGGGTGCTGATGCTGATGGCACGAAGAGGGGTTTCCATGTCACTGGTCAACAATAGTCAAAATACTGCACTGATTGGACCTTGACAATTAACTGAATAATTTCATAACAAGTGAGAGTGTGGCTATGTCTGTTGGTAGGTGTCTATTAATGAGCCTAAGTGATACATACTTAAAAGTTGTCCTTACTACTAGTTCGTGGCATTTTCTTGTTTAAGAAAAATATATTTTATTCATATTTTGACAACCTATTATTGAAATGATTGACTGTACATTGGCACAAACACAAACATTAGATTCACCACCTGCATGCCAATCTATGTTCATAAGAGTCAAAGGAAATTTTCCAGGGCACGAGAGATATCTGAAGACTTTCATGCTCCTTACTTTGTAGTCACTGATGCTGCTCATGGCGATGTAAGGAGTGAGACTGGCGGCCAACGGTATCCAGAAGAATGCGTTGCTCATGAGTCCATGCTCATAAAACATATACTCCTAAAGTGATACAGACATGGTGAGCAGATAGACACCAGGCCTCTGACTCATTTACATGGTCTTCACCATACCATCTGGATAAAGGAACTGAGATAGCCCTTCAAAGTCCTTCCCAAGGTCCTGTTTGTAGCATGAAGCTCAAAGATCTGATTCAGAGATTACAGCATTCCCCATATCAATTACATGTGTATCTGTATATTTAATTATATCTCTTTCTACACACATGCACGCACACAAAACGTATTGAAGAATACATATTCTTGGACCACTGATGGAGAAGTAGTTTTTTTCCTACTCTTAGAAACTTGTGCTGAAGCAGTTCAGTCCAACACTTTTACAGAGTCATTCTTCTGCTTCCAGATAATGTTAAAGCATCAAATTTAAATGTTTTCGTGGGCCTCTCAGATAGAAAGTAATAAGTACATGAATATTAGAAAATAATTCCTCTGAAAGCCTCCTCCCAGAGGGCAAGCTTTCAAGGTACCAGAAAGTTCCATGTGAATTTCCAAAGGAGGGGGGGGTAGTACAACACAGCTATGCTGCCTTTGAACTAAAAGAATGGCCAGCATAGCACCATATCCCTAAGGGTGCAACAGTGCCACTCTTATCTTGTTGATAGCAAACAGCTGTCTAATTGGACTTAAGGCCCTGATCAACAAGAGGGAAATTGTTCCTGGTACAGGAAACCTAGCCAACTCCCCAGGGTTAGTTAAGTCAGGGATCTTGAAGGAGAACCTACAACCACCACTTTACTAAGCTAGCATAATTTCTGACCACATTCTAAATTTATCAGTGTATAAATTTAAGACCACCTGAGCTAGTAGCTGGCAATTTTTTTGTAGTTAAGACTACTTATTTATATCATTAACTTTTTGAGACAAAGTCTCATGGTATAGCCTGACTGACATCAAATCAGTGAACCTCTGAATTTGCCTTCTGAGTGCCGAGATTAAATGCTTATGGCACCATGCCCAACAAGACACTTAAAAAAACTCAAAACAAACAAACCAAAAACAAGCCCATGGTCATCTCAGAGGGAAAAAGAAAGCAGGTGGTTAGGGCTGAGTGACTCTCCCATTTCTAATCCAACATGTCACACTTTTGTAAATGAAATGAAGTCGCCATCATCTCTCACCTATGTCTTACACCACAAGTTAACAAGGCAACATTATTCCTTTTTTTTTTCTTTTATTGTGACCTCAAAATTAAGTGGCCCCAAAAATTCTATCAGGGAATGCCTACAGCTGATAAATGCCTTCAGTAATATGGCTGGATACAAGAGGAACTAAAAAACAAAAAATCAGTAGCCCTCCTACACACCAATGATAAACGAGCTGAAAATGAAATCAGGGAAACATCACCCTTTACAAAAGCCACAAATAACATAATTATTTTGGGGCAACTCTAACCAAACAAGTGAAAGGCCTATATAACAAGAACTTTAAGTCTCTGAAAAAAGAAATTGAAGAAGATACCAGAAAATGGAAAGATCTCCCATGTTCTTGAATATGTAGAATAACATAGTAAAAATGGCAATCTAACAAAAACAATATACATATTCAATGCAATACCCATCAAAATTCTTCACAGACCTCAGAAGAATAATACTCAACTTCATATGGAAAAAAAAAACACAGGATAGTCAAAACAATCCTGTACAATAAAGGAACCTCCAGAGGCATCACCATCCCTGACTTCGAGTTATATATACTGTAGAGCTGAAGTAATAAAAATAGCTTGGTATTGGCACAAAACAGACACATGAATTAATGGAATCAAAATGAAGACCCTGACAATAATCCACACACCTATGAACACCCGATTCTTTTTTTTTTTTTAACCAAAATTGTACAACGAAAAAAAGAAAGCATCTTCAACAAATGATGCTGTCATAACTGGATGCGGACATGTAGAAGAATATCAATAGATCATCTATGACCATACACAAAATATTTCAAGTCCAAGTGGATCAAAGACCTCAACATAAATCCAGTTACACTGAACCTGATAGAAGAGAAAGTAGGAAGTAGCCTTGAACACATGGGCACAAGAGACTACTTCCTGAACACAACACTAGTAGCACAGACACTGAGAGCAACAATAAATAAATGGGACCTCCTGAAATTGAAAAGCTTCTATAAGCAAAGGACATGGTAAAAAAGACAAAATGGCCACCTACGGGATGGGAAAAGATCATCACCAACCCCAAATCAGACAGAGGACTGATCTCCAAAATATATAAAGAACTCAAGAAACTGGGCATCAAAATACCAAACAATCCAATTTAAAAATGGGGTACAGGTCTAAATAGAAAATTTTCAACATAAAAAACTCAAATGGCTGAAAGACATTTAAGGAATTTCTCAACATCTTTAGCCATTGGGGAAATGCAAACTAAAATGACTCTGAGATACCATCTTACATCTGTCAGAATGGCTAAGACCAAAAACACTGATGTTTATTCTCGAAAGGATGTGGAGTAAGGGGAACATTCCTCTACTGCTGCTGAGAGTGCAAACTTGTACAGTCACTTTGGAAATGAATCAGTATGGCAGTTTCTCAGAAAATTGGGAATCAATCTACCTCAAGACCAAGTGATACCACTCTTGGGTATATACCAAAGGATGCACATTCATACCACAAGCACACTTGCTCAGCTATGTTCATAGCAGCATTACTCATAATAGCCAGAACCTGGAAACAACCTAGATGCCCCTCACCTGAAGAACTGATAAAGAAAATGTGGTACATTTACACAATGGAGTACTACTCAGTGATAAAAAAAAGATAGCTTAAAATTTGCAGGCAAATGAATAGAACCAGAAAAAAACCATCCTGAGTCAGGTACTCTAGACCCAGAAAGACAAACACAGCATGTACTCACTCATAAGTGGATATTAGATGTAAAGCAAAGGATAACCAACATATAATGCACGACCCTAGGAGAGATGTGCATGGATGCCCCTGGGAAACAGAAATAGGTAAGATCTCCTGGGTAAATTGGGAGGGTTGGGGAGTGGGAAAGGGTGAAGTGGGGAGGAGGAGAACATGAGGTAATAGGATGGTTGAGCTGGGGGAGGAACAGGGAGGGAGAGGAAGGAAAGAGATATCTTGGTAGAGTGAGCCATTATGAGATCTGGTAGAAATCTGGTGCTGTGGATTCCCAGGAATCCACAAGGATGACCCCAGCTAAGACTCCTAGCAATAGTGGAGAGGGTGCCTGAACTGATCTGGTCTTCTTCCCCTGTAATCAGACTGATGATCACCCTAATTGTCATCATAGAACCTTCATCCAGTAACTGAAGGGAGCAGATGCTGAGATCCACAGCTAAGCACTGGGTCAAGCTCCAGGAGTTCAGTTAAAGAGAGGGAGGGGGTATTATATGAGCAAAGGGGTTGAGATCATGATGGGAAAACCCACAGAGACAGCCGACCCGAGCTAGTGGGAGCTCACTGACTCTGGACTGACAGCTGGGAACCTGCATAGGACCAAGCTAGGATCTCTGAATGTGGGTGACAGTTGTGTGACTGAGGCAGTCTGTTGAGCCACTGGTAGTGGGACCAGGATTTATCCCTGGTGCATGAACTGACTTTTTGGAGCCCGGTTCCCTATGGAGGGATACCTTGTTCAGTAGAGATATGGGATGGGGGCGCTTGGTCCTGCCTCAACTTGATATGGGTGACTTTGTAGACTCACTATGGGAGGCCTTACCCTTTCTGAGAAGTGGATGGGAGGTTGGGTGATGGGAAGATGGGGGAGTGTGAAGAGGGGAGGGGGAACTGTGCTTGGTATGTAAAATGAAAATAAAATCTTTTAAATAAAAGTTTTAAAAAAGATATAGATCCTTTTCTCATACAATATGTTCTGATAATAGTTACCCCTTCCTTCTACTTCTCTCAGTTCCTCCCACCACCCCATCCCCCAGATCCACTCCCTCTCTGTCTCTCCTTAGGAAAGAACAGGCTTATAAGAGATAACAACCAAGCATGGAAAAATAAAATATAATGAGATGAAACAAAAACCATCATACCAAAATTGCACAAGGCAAATAACAGGGAGAAAGGAAGTCCAAGAGCAGGCATAGTCTTAATAACAAAAGATGATTTTAACAACAATGAAATATGATCATAGTATCATTTTCTAAGGCAAAAAAAATTCAACACAGCAAGGTAAAATGGATGAGCCAGCTATGACCCTTTCCCCAATCAAGATACTGTTAAAGGATGGAAGTACTCATGAACAACATATTTTAAATAAGAAAATCAAATAAGTGTGGTATTTGATATCATTGAGGAGCTACTTTGATGTATGATAAAGATATTGTAGTTGTTCATAAGTGGTTCTTTTAAAAAAATTTGTACACACACACACACACATGCGCACATGCAGAGAACAACTTTCAAGAGTCAGATCTCTTCCTCTGCCATGTGGGTCCCAGGAGCTTGAACTCAACACCAGAACTCAGCAGCAAGCACCTTTACCAACTGAGCCATCTGATCAACCACATTCTTCCCTTTAACAGATATATACAATAAAATATTTATAGATAAAATGATATGATTTTAACTTTAATTCAAATACTGTTAAGGCTATGAATTTACAATAATGAAGTTGGCTTATAAATGTGGGATGTTATTAAATTCTCTATTAAAGTGTTTGAAATTTTATATAATACAAAACCTCTAAAATAATCAAGAGCTATTCCCATGCTTCCACTTATCTAGTCAAAGGTGAAAGTTCTATACTGAAAGCTTCTTTTAATGCATCTCTAAGCAAAATAGTATTAACAGCAATAATGATCATAACTGTAATTTATTGAGCAAATTCCTGACATATTCATACCTCATTGCTGGTCCTTATACTACCTTGACCAAGTCAGCTAGTTGCACACTTACCACAGTTACTTCAGTAGAAACTTCCGTGGTAACATTTTATCTGTACATTTTGATAATTAGTGTATTAAAGACTACAAGAATCAATTGTTTTTTTAAGAAAGATGCATAGTCAAACATTGAAAACTTCTGTTATCAATTATATCCCACTATCAATGGCTGCAGAGGGCTCCACTTCTTGCTGTCTCACTGCCCTGAAACCATACTGTTTGTACTGTTTCATAGTCACAACTGAGTCATGCAGGAATATATGTTGTTATTTATGTATAAAATATAAGATCATTGGGTTAATAAAAATTGATACAATGTCATTTCTTGCATTACAAGAATTTAATTGAAAACATCCAAAGTCTTCATATACTTACTTCAACAAACGTGCTTCTGTCTGTCTGGATACGTTCTGAAGAATTAAAGATTCCAAGCAGACCGTTGCTAATAATATCCATGAGGACTGGAAAGCAGTTTAGTCTTTTGGTATTACATGCTATTGAAAATCTGAGATCCTAAAATATAAGGAATATTTCTTAATTCTCAGAAAGCAGCTGTAAAGCTTAGTGGCATACTGTTAGAAAATCTTTTAAATCACTGATAACATAGCAAGTCAAGTGCAGAAAAGCAACATTCCCACTGCCTTTATTATTAAGTTCCCAATATATTTAGAGGATATGGATTTCTACACTACTACCCCCTAACATCAGCCACCTGACTCTTTGTGCCCATAACATCACAAAATTAAATAAAAGTGATTTTTAAATAGCAATAGTGGCGTGAACGTTACTGGACTACCAACAACTCTGGTTGGATTTAAGGCCCACTCCATGAGGTGGAGTGCTGACCTTGTACTGTTATCAGGAATAAGAACCTGTGGCTAGATAGGCAACAGGTCCTAGAAAGGAACCTACTATTATTATTCTGCCAAATCAGAGGTTCTCAATCTGTAGTTCATGATCCCTTTGGGGGTTGCCTGACCAGATATCCTTCATAGTAGATATTTACATAACAATTCATAACAGTAGCAAAATTACAGTTATGGAATGGCAACAAAATAATTTTACAGTTAAGGGTCACCACAACATGAGATCCACAGCATTCAGAAGGTGGAGAACCACTGTGCTAAATGAACAAGCACAGTATTAAACAGACTCCTAACGACTTGCTGCTATCCCCATAAATTAGTGCAGCTCTTACTCCTTCATTGGGGATGCTGCTAGCAGTAGGTGGAAATTAATGGAGACCCTTAAGTGGTCAGTGCGCAGAAATTGAGAGACTGAGGAGTTCTTGGCCGTACATGAGATATGTTTATTAAATACATTTCCCCCAAGGGCTGAGGAATCTTCAAGGAAGAGGGGGAAGAAAGACTTTAAGAGCAGAGGTGAAAGATTACTGGTGTGGGAGGTCATTTTGTCTATGTGTCACTTTTATTGGTTAATGAATAAAGAAACTGGCTAGCTTATAGCATGGAAGGAGAAGAGAAGCCATGGAGCCACCGGAGACAGATGCTGGGAATTTTACTTGGTAAACCACAGCTATGTGGTGAAATATAGATTAATACAAATGGGTTAAATTAATATAAGAGCTAATAAAAAGCTATAGCTAATGGGCCAAGCAGTGATTTAATTAATATAGTTTCTGTGTGATTATTTGGGGTTTAAGCTAGCCGGGAGGCCAGGAACCAACAAACGGCCTCCCTCCTACGGATTACTATGAGGAAAGGGTGTTTTCTGAACACAACAGGTTGATTACACAACATGTTGTGACAGCATGCACAAGATCTGTGAAAACTCAAGCCAGAAGGAATCCCAGCATGGTATGAGAGAGGTAGGCACAAAGTTCCACTCCTAGTTGAAGAGCTATTGGCATTTGATAGCTTCTGGATAGGAAAAATCAGTTTTCTTTAAGGATGTGATGTCTAGTAAGTAAATTACATTTTAAGGCAGGCCTATACCCAAGAGTAGCTGGGCGGTTCACATTGAACCTGATGGATGGTTGAAAAATAGATAAATAGATAGATAGATAGATAGATAGATAGATAGATAGATAGATAGATA